CAGTCAAAAAATCCGTGATTACCAACTGAAGACACTGGAATGCGGTACGTATTAGCGGCTCACTAAAATTATGAGATGCAAATGTATAAACATTTCTTTGAAAATAATACCAAACAAAGCACGCCATTTTACCCATGATGTTCATTTACTGCGCCAATGATTTCGATTATAGCCGGCCAACCGAATGATAATATTTCACCTGCGCCATTGAGTATCTGCAGTACGCAATCGAGTTGCCTTTGACGCACATCTGCGTGCATTACAGTCGACAATTCGGAGAGCGGACTAAGCAACATTGTTTGTAATTCCATATTTTCCTTTAGCGGCACTGTGTGTTTGAACTGCAGTGCTGATTTTACCAAATAAGTAATTGCTTCTACGCCCCATTCACGCATGCGTATGTGACGATGCTGGCAAACCTCAAGCAAGTGATTGGTAAGTGGACGCCATAGCACTTCAATGCGTGGCATATTCACAAGACCGGTCTCAAGTAGTTTAGCGACAGCAAATAAGGAGGGTTCCTAGCAAAGGCAAAGATTTTAATAAAATTATGGATATTTTTTCATTTTATATTTCACACTATCAGCCGCATTATAACAAAGCCACACGCCTTAACTTATCACTGCTGTGATTTCTACTGCGCCTCAAACTTTGCCGCTGCAATCAATATGCTGCTAAAGCACGAAATTTTAAGTTTTAAGTTTAAGTTTTAAGCACTTAAAATCGAATTTTTGTGGCACATTTTGCGGCGCAGTAGAAATCATAACAGTGATGAGCTAAGTTTTGCGACTCTGTTAGATTGGAGGGGTAAATACTACTTACCCTATTCGCATAGGCGAGTTCCATAGCTTCATGCGATAATTTACATAAAGCATCGATGAGATGATGTAGTGCAACATCGTCCAAATACTGGCTGGATTCAAAAAGTTGACTCAACATTTGTGACAGCACTGGCAAATCGGCCATGACTGCAGTTTGTATGCCCACATTTGCCTCGACAGCAGGTTTTGGAAATGCCTACATTTAACAAAATTAAATATTTATTTGCATGCCGTCACTCAGTGCATAACTTCGAAGATACTCACTTGCAAACTACCGCCAGTCGATGGTTTCAAACCCAAAATCCATACCAAGTGTTGCAGTGTCTGTAGCACATTATGCCAGGAAGTGCCCAGTATGCTGCCATTACTGCGCGCCAAAAACAAAATAGCACGCATACATTGTAGATTTTTAGTAGTCAACATGACTGGTGCTTGCATTATGCTGTGTGGTAGCGAAGCGCTTGGCAATGGTGTGCCCACAGCAACAATTTGCTGGCGGAAGTCTCCCTCATTGCAAGTATTTATAAATTGGTTATTCAAATCTTGACTGTTGCTGCGTGCATGACCTGCGGGAACATCAATTTTTATACCCGCTTAATATAAAATTTTACAAATTCTTAAATACCTCGCAAGTCTGCTTCCATATGCACATTGTTTGCAAATATTGCCGCTGCATAGTGTGGTGGGAAGGAAGCACGACAAATGGCCATTATAAAAGCGTCACGTGGTCCCAGCAAATCCAGCATGCCACAAAGTGCTGCATAATTCTGCATAGCTTTTAAAATATTATCCGTTGTAGTCTCATCGATTGAGGCATCTACTAACGGTACGAATGCTGAGAGCAAACCCGCCCAACTGGAGTTGATCAATTGCAAGCACAACGGCTTGTGCTCCTCCTCAGTTATGATGGCAGAGTTGTGTGTTGGCTGTTGCTGCAACAAATTAGAAATATTTGGCATCTCATTAAAAGCTGTTGGGCTTTTCTTAGTATTTAACTAACCATTTCTGGGGTACGCTGTATAACGCCGCCAATAGAGCGTGTTATATCCAAGAGTATAGCATAAGCAACAGAGACACCATAACTGTCGGGTATGTTAGGTGCCTCCAGCTTGTCTAGCATCTCCAAACTATAAATTAAAAAAAAAACGAATGGGTTAATGATGAAGTGTGTTTTAATAATTAGTAAACTAACTTAGTTAACTTACTAAACGGATTTCGCTACACCAGGCGGAAACGTGGCAATCAGCGACAAGTAAACGCCACGGAACATAAATCCACATTGATTGCCGGCATTATGAGCTGCGGTAGGATTATTTTGATTGGCTGCTGGAAGCTGCCCGTTTTGCACTACGAAGAGAAACAATTATTAACGTAAAAAAAAATTGCTCAAAAATATATTGCGCTTACAAGCTGCCGCATTTATTAACGAATAACGCACATAAGTGCCCAATGCTGAGATCATATCGTGTACAATATTGGTTGCATGATTTTTCAGATCATAGGACTTGCAAAAGAATGCAATTAAATTAGGTTTTGTGGCAAGTTTATGTATGACCTCCAAAGCCAAAGCGCGTTGCCAGTGCGGCTTATCAGGATCAAGGAATTTGATGATCAATGATAGGAAAATTTCACACTCAGTAACCTGTACGTGGTAATGAAATAGTAAATCATTAGTTATGCAAAAAAAAAATAAAAATAATATCCAAATCGACGTGCGTACCAATATTGTGTGGTATTTTTGTATAAGAATGGCTACTAAGCGCAGTAAACGCATACTGATCGGAAAGTAGGGTTTGTCATTGGGTACCGCAGTGTTGCCATTACTAGGCGGCGGCACTTGACGATGTTTTACGTTTGGAGAGAAGAGTTTTATAACCAACGCACAAACGCGTTCCTTAAGTAGCAAACGGAAATCGTTATTCTGTAAGAAAAATATATGAGTTTGCACTTATGTTGATTTTTATGCTTCGAATGCCAACCGAGCTACCTCATGGAATACTGCGCTGAAATTAGTTAATACTGCTTCGAGTAATTCTAAGCCAAAAGTGCGCGTCATTTCTGTCATACCAATGAGCCAATAGGGCTGATCAGCATTCACCAGCTGTACGAGGTCCTGGTACAAAAATAGATTTTTTATTGATATTAATTTTATCCAAAATAGTACTTCAAAGACACTTACTTGAAAGAGGAAAAATGCATCTGCTGCAAAGGTTTGCATATCAGCATTGGCCGCCGCGCTGTTTTCACCATCCACAATTTCTCTATTAGCATTCTGCGCCGCATCCTGTATAGACGCAACTGAATCTTTCTCCAAATAGACACGTTCAAATACCAACGAAACAAGTTGTCGAATCGTAGCACCCGCGGTGTTGACAATCGTCGAATTCTTTGTATAATGTAGTCGAAAACATAAGACCAAGGATTTGGCCAAAGTTTCGCCATGAACTACGGTGTTGGTAGTCAGCAGCAGTGTAACCGTTTGTAAGACCTTCACCTCTTCGATGTTGTTTTCCATAAGCATCCACAATGCATCTGTTATATAGCGTGCGCCTTTTTGGTCAACCACCTGCTGGGTGATAAGCCGCTGCATCATACCGAGGCAATACTGCAATATATAAAATACAAACATTAACAACAATAATCACGATCAAAGCAGCGATAAGATAAGTAGCAATAGTTTTGCCGGTAAAGTAATTTCTAAGGAAAATTGTGTATACACGTACATATGTATGTGCGAGCTTGATATTATGACTCACCTTTATGATTTTCAGGTCTTTGGTTTCACATCCTTGCACAAGTGGATATAGAATTTGGTTTACAGTGTAATAAACGGATGTTTGCTGATTATTGCTAGCAGCATTTAGTTTCGATATAGCCTCTTCGCATGACTGGAAAATTTTTTGTAAATATAACGTTGTAATTAAAAATTTAAAAACAAAAGTATGAACAAATTATAAACGTTCAATTTACAATTGCCTAGTTATTTTTAGCAAAATATAACCATTCATTAACATATTTACCAGGTTGCATTTAGCTAACAATGGGCTATTAACACTTAATACATATCGCACACGATCTTCAAAAGTGACACAACTCAAAATTTTGCTTTTTTGCAGTTATGCGCTAAAAATGTATATAGATGTTTTATTTACTTTGCAGCAAAAGCTGGAGCGAATTTTTGTTATAATTTCTTGAAAAAAGCGAAGGTAAAGTTGCCTCTGCCCATATTTTTAGCATGTGCTAAGAAATATTTTTTCTCATTTTCTGACAAACGTGTACTTTTGAGTTGTGTCACTTTTAAAGATCGTGTGCGATATTTTTGTATGAAGAATATCTCTTGCTGCCACCCCCACGCACGCCGCACCTAGTAGTGGCACAAATTTTCGACATCCCATTGCGCCCCACAAAAACAAACGCATATTTGGAGTAGCNGTCGTCTAAAGTGTCCCAACCTCCACCTTCGATCAATTCGTAATACGTACCGACCTACAACTACACCAGTCAGGAGATAACATACACGGAGGAACAACATACATGGAGGAACGACCTGGAGTATGCGGTCCTAACTCTTAGGAACTGGCCAATAATCCAAAACCCAAAAAAAAAAATATTTGGAGTAGTGGGAATCTCATATTACACCTTTTCTTGATAAATTATTAGCTCACCTCTTTTATTAATGGATATTTCTTTTTCGTTTCAAGGGAGAGTGTCTTAAAGTCTGCACGTAGGGCCTCCACAAATTTATGCACCGACTCATTACCACCCGTCGAGGTGCGTACGAAAGACATTTTCACGTCTTAATTTTCAAGATTAAACAATGCACAAAACAAATATTACTTATTTACGCAGCTTCTAATACTCTGCATCACAATTTTATTGCTGTTTTTATTGTTTATAAAGATGCAAAACACAATATTTTTTTCGTTGAAAAAACTGCATAAAATTTGCCAAATACGTTTTCTTTCTATACGGTGTGTGTGGTTGTGTTGTTTCTTTTATCCATTTTGACAGCTGACGTGACAACATTGCGTTGCAGAGCCACTGTAGTGTTAATGAATGGTCAAGTGTAGGGATGCCGTGGCAACGAAATGTAAACAAATTTGTTCCAAGTGCATAAATGAGATTTTCAAAAATTTAAAAACACATTTGTTCAAAGCAATTTTATTGATTTTTTTATTTTCCTCAGTAATTCTCCGGATCTGAAAGATATTAAGTCTATTTCATAAAAAAAAGCATTTAAATATTTGTATCATGTTCTACATATTATATAAGCGCACAACTTCAACCTTTGTAAAGTCGTGTCCGCTCCTTACAGCAAAATCGGTTTTAACTACATTACAATAAATATGCAAATAAACAAAATAGGTAAACATATATGTCCATAAATATTACAATATAGCTAACGTAGCACACATGACAAAATAAAAAATAATTCCTTACAATACTACATGCAACAGCCTTAATTCTTTCGGAAGCTAAGTAAGGTAGGATATATCTTATCTAGACAATCCATTATATCCTTCCGCGCTTTGGCACCGGTAAATACAATTTTACCATTGACGAATATTAAAAGCACCATCCGCGGATTAACCATCCTATAAATTAGGCCAGGAAACAGTTCAGGCTCGTATGAGCTAAATTGACCATGCATTTGATTTAAGTTTTCCAGGCGTATAGGGAACCTTAAGTCTACAGTGGCTACAATATTTTGTAGTTTGAAATCAACAAACTTCACGGGATAACCGAGCTTTTGTAGAATTCGTGCAAATTTTCTAGCGCCCAAATTGGCTTCACCTTCGTTGCGTGCTCCTGTGCAAATTATTTTGCCGGTGCGGAATATAAGCGCTGTACAGCGTGGTTCTCGCATGCGCATTACAACACCATGAAAGCGTGATGGCGTATATTCAGAATTACGCGTGCGAAAATTTATATCCTGAAGATTCAATTCGCAAGCAACTGAGACTGTGGCTACCACGTTTCTATTAAATTGAAAGAGTGATTATTCACCGATATTTGGGTATTATGGTTTTTGTATATGAATATACTCACTGCAGTTTTACTTCATGCTGTACATCTTTGGGTTCAACAAAAGGTGTGACGGCCGGCTGCTGCGGTTGTAGCGTGCTATGTGGATTTGGCTGCTAATTTTGGTGTGGCAGTTTTTTATGGGTATTTATCAAGTATTTATTCTTACTTTAACTTACTTTATTATGCGGAGGAGCTTGTAACAAATTGCGTAAAGACGACTCATTTGCTGAATCCATAATGTTTAATCCAATATAAACAAAATGCAAATTGCAGCATGTCAAAAATAAGGAGCAAAAAGGAATGGTAAATTGACGGCTGACGATAAATTGACATTTCTTCTTCTTGCTAGTCAAATTCACTCGTCACAGAGCTGCATTTTGTTACGATTCTTTTTATAAATATGCAACGTCTTGCAAAATAATATTATGAGAACGTAAGCAAATGTAATGGAATTAGTTTTTTAAAAAAACTTGTATGATTAATGTTGGTATGAAGGTAAGTACTTATTTGGATATTTTTCGTACTAAAAAACAAAGTACACAAGAGAGAATCATACATTTGGTAATTAAATTCATGAAGCGAATGGCGCATTAACGTAGTGAAAATTGACAATGCAACCCTAGTCGTCTTATTAGTCAAATTGGAGTATTGCGATACAAATTTGAGAATAGTCAAGCGGCTCAGTCGTGAGTGGATTCTCGGAAAAAATATAAAGAAATATAAATAAATATATATATATGTGTGCACAAATTTGTAGTAAAAGCAATCAAAATTTGTGGTTCCGTTAGAAATTTCACATTTTCGTGGCCGTAGATCTATAACGTGTTCAAATGATTATTCTGGAAACAAAACAAAAGCGCCAATAACGCCATAGATAAAAAATAAAGAACCATAAATAAGACCGAGGAGAAAAGACGAGTGACTATTTTTTCCAAATTTCCCATTCGCTGAATTTTTCTTCATTCGTGTGAAAAAACGCCTTAAATATCCAGCCAGGAAAGAAAATTGAGTGCAGAAAAAATCAAACAAAAAATGTGAATATGTGCATTAGTTCTGTTGCAAATTAGCAGCGTAATTAAATTTTGAAAGCGAAACGAATGCTACAATAGTGAAGTGCTGGCAATTTCTGCAACAAAGTCGAAGATAAAACCAATTGTATTAACTACATACATAACATAAATAGTGCACAAGACTCCGTGGAAGAACGTGAGGAGGCGTTAACAAAGAAAAAATAGCAAAACAAGTCTGGAAAGATAAAAGTGGAGGCGTAAAGGGGAGTAAATAAACTTGAAAGAAAATCTGCCGGGTTGGCGGTTGTTCATTCACGTCTTGAAAATTGCTATAAAACAATAACCTGAAAAAGCACTCAAAATAAGAACTTCTTTTCGGCGACACGCAGCACGTCGTTTCATTCTATTGTGAAAACTATGTGAATAGATTTACATATACTTTATTATTAATTTTGATATCTTAACTTTATAACACACCACTTTACTTTAAGCGCTTTGCTTGATAGCAAATCTATTGTTTTTATTAAAAAAAGTTTCGTAAGTACCCTTCGTGCATGCTCCCGAAATTGTTGCTGCGTTTCCATCTATTCCTGGATTATATCCTAAAATCAAAAAACGAACTAATACAGATCATCACCGATTTTACACTATTCTCATTCGATCACATACACTTGATCAAATTCATAGCCAAAATGTCGACTGCATTCCTCACCGCTATTGCGGTTATAATGTGCATCCTATTTCGTATACTAAACGTTAACAGTCAGCCGCTGAAGCCAAGCGTTTGGTGTTTGGATCAACAGTTCCTGGATTGTATTTACAAAATTGCACCAGTACTGAGAGAACCGTAAGTAAATGTGGAAAAAATCTTCAGTAATTAAAATATTCAAATAAATCGATAAGTACTACCTTGATAAAAATATCATGAGTACTACTACATATCAGACGAAATTTGATAGGAAAATTCCATGATTCTCGATTCGTCTGAATATAAGAATACCTACCTAGCAAACACATTTTCAAACGTTTAAGAAAAATGTATTTCTCAATTTGATATCAAATGTTTTTCTCAAATGATTCTCAAATTAACAACGAGGTTTAAATTTTACATTTGAAATTCATTTGAGGTTGATTTGAAGAAAGATTCAAGTATCAAACGATATAAAAATGCGCAGTTAAATCAAAAATTGTAAGAATAAAATTAAGATCAGTTGAAAAAAAAAACAATGAATAGAAAAAAATTTTCAAAGAGAAAGGGCTACAAATAATGGATTTGAAGAAGCTGCAACCCTTCAAGACGAATTTACTATAAATTAGTTTATCTTAATTGTTTCGTTTGTTATGTACATACATATGTACATCGCGAAGAAAAAATAAATATGAAATATACATTTCCATTAAAAAATTTTATTTCCACATTTGAAGTACAATTGATAAATAACATTTGAAATTAATTTGAGAGTTAACAATATTCTCAAATGGAGATCAAACTCTTCTCTTTATTGAAAGCTGTAATTTTAAAATCAATATAAAATCATTTTTAAACGTTTGACATTTGAGAAAGGCTTTGATTTCAAATCATTCTCAAATGTATATCAAACGTAATTGTTTGCTGGGTACATGCGCCTCAATACTTATATACATATATGTATGTACGTGCAAAAATACTTTCGTTATCGTCTAGTAAAATTCTGGCAGCTATGACTAAAATTTATAAGGATGGATTAAATCCAATGATTAGAGGCAAAACATGTACTCAATTTAATGATTATGGAGATGCTCCCCGCTCTTAAATGGAATTAGTTTCTAGATAGGCGTTATACCTAAATATTTTAATAAACATTTTTACACGCCAACGAATCACAGTAGTGAATATTTTGCATTTATAAAAATTTGCACTTTATTATCTTTCAAGCGATTGACAACTTGGATTTTTAATGATATGAATCAGAATTTATTATCCGCACTTGGTTCATGTGATCGGCGTGTGATGGCGTTTCATCGTTATATGTAGGCAGGGTTTGAAAATGCTGTAATATTTTTATTTAATTTGCTTTTGCTGTGCTTTGACTTCGGCATGTATGATATCGAAAGCAAAGCAAAAGCAATTAAGAAAAAAACAAATGCTTTGGCTGCCGTTTTACTATGAAATTTCGAAAGCAAATTGTGGAAGCACAAAGACAGCGCAGCAGTAGCAAATCAACAGCAAATTGAGTATAAATTTGCTGCGAAGCATCGAATTGGCAGAAATAGAGGATATTATATGTATGCGTTCGGAAATCCACTAGTCGCTTACCCTGATAAGCTTTGCATTGATGGCGGAGTTAATATGTACTTAGATACTATACCATGCTGCAAAAGCGTCATCTGCACAACACAGCCAAGCAGATAACAACACAGCAAAAGCACTATCACAGCAAATCGAAAGCAATAAAATTTTTTACATAAACTACCGATAAAAAAACAAAATGAACTTTTCAAAGTTACAGCAAAAGCAAAGCAGTTCGAATCAAAATCGAAAATTTCAAAGCGAAGCAAAAGCAAAAATAGTAATGCTGTTGCTGCTTTGCTGACAGTTTTTCAAACCCTGTATGTAGGTCTTAACGAATGGGGAGAAAAGTTAATGTACATATACTTATATGTACATATGTACCTATAAATTAATATACCGATTGATACAATACAATACATATACAATACATATAAAAATTATTATTATTAATTAGTTGATGCCTCTAGTTATATTAATGTATACCTTTTAAACATTTTATTAATAGCCTAAAAGCATTTTAATCAAACTAGCCAGATAATGCAGACATACAGTATCGGTCATATCTATAGCACGCCATTTCAAAGTGATATTGTGTGCCACTTATGTTTATTTATTTATTTTTAAGAATTTTCAATTAAAATTTAGTTCATTCTCAGACAAACGCCATATATACCCAAGTTTAACAATTTGTAGAAAACTACAAAAAAGTGTAACAAATTTGCACCTAAATTTCAAACTTTTTTCTCGGAAGTGATAGAATTTTTTTGAGTACACAGTTTTTTAGCCCCTGCAACTTTAGTCTTATAATGGGCAAATTTCAAGTGGCTACGATTTACCGTTAATTTTTTTAGAATTTTTTTGTCGCATTGGCTTCCATATAATGAATAAACTCAATTTGGAAGAAAACCGCAACATCCTTGGTGAAAAAAATTCTAAAAAATCAGCTGTAACTTGTAGGCACTTGAGACTTGCACATTATCAGACTAAAATTGATTGGGCTATAAAACTGTGTATTCAGAAAAATTCAAACACTTCCGAGAAAAAAGTTTGAAATTTAGGTGAAAATTTGTTGCACTTTTTTGTAGTTTTCTACAAGTTTTTAAACCTGGGTTTATATGGGTTTTATTAGAGAAAGAACTGTATTTTAATTGAAAATTCTTAAAAATAAATAAATAAATAAAAGTGACACACAAAGAAGTAAGTTTACGAAGTACGAATAAGTTAAATAATAAATAGTACCTATATAATAATAAAAAAATAATTATATAAAATAATAATAAATTAAATTCATTGGCAATATTTTGCCTAATGAAGATATTGGCTGCGTTTTTTTATACATTCCAGATAATCCCATTTCACAGCCGGAATAAACAGAATTCGTTTGAAATATGCGTTAACATATCATCAGGAACGTTCTAAAGAATAAGTAAACAGAAAAGTTTATTCCAAATGTTCAGAATGAATAAAGAAATGCAGCCATTAATGCATTTATTCATCAGTATTGCCATCATCGATTAACATTCCTTATATCACTTTCTCACAATAATTTTTAAACTTCAGATGACAAGGGCTGTTTTGTTTTCTTTGTGACAAAGCGACAAATGACGCTTACGACAAAATTTTACTCTAAATCTCTAAAATCTTTAATAAACTCAAAACTAATTAGCAATAAACATTAAAAATTAAATAATTTAAGAATTCTGTGAACTTTGGAGAAAATCTATCTTCGCGTTTTTGTGAGATTGCATTCCAAACATCAATCGCGATTTCCACAACCTGCCGAAATTAACATACGACAATCTTTTACCCAGGCGACGATATGTATGTACATACATATCTAATCAATAATTTATGCAACTTGTTGACTCATCAAATATTCTAGTTATGTTAATACATATGTACATATGCATGAGAATAATTAGCAAGAGGTTGTTAGTATAGAAAATGAAAGAAAATAGTGTGGGTTAAATGTAAAGTGTGAGCAGGAAATAGTATTTGATTGGTTTGGTTAGAAGCATATTGCATAGAAATTTT